AGACTAAATAATACATTTACATAAATGGATTATTTAGTCTGGCAACGCTCCATTGACGGCTCTCGGTTGTGGGGCGGGTTCTACCGTTGTCTTTCAAATGATCTCCGCATGCTACTGGACAATGAATGTGACATACTCACCGCAACAGCTATTGGTAAACGAGGCGCCTCGCAGTTGAAGAAGGAGAAAACACATAATTTTTAAAAAAGCACTTAAATACATCTATCTGCTCCTGATTCCAATGAAACCCAAGTTCTAATAGTCCAAAATTGATGTAAAAGCCATTTCAAATGAGCTGTCACCATCTTGTTTCAATCTGTTGCATCATCCCACCCACCAGACATATAGAGTGCCCTGATTGGCCCACAAAGTGGATAAAGCTCTGTGATTTGTTCACTAAGCAGATAGAGCACTATGATTGGCCCACCATTATGGACCAATCACAGCTCTTTATGTGTTTGAAACCCCTCTAGAGAGCTGTGATTGGCCAGCCAGAATACTGTTAGGGGCTGCAGAGTTTCCAGTGGAGCGTTGCTGGACCAAACTTTGCAAAGCAAGAATTTGGTCTAGTTCACTAGGCTAATGTTCCCCAAGATCGGAAGTAAGGAGAGTTTTCCGTCAGACCCCCAGTTGGAGATTTGAATTCAGGAATGGTTTTCGCCAACACACACACACACACACACACACACACACACACACACACACACACACACACACACACACACACACACACACACACAACTGCCCGCTCAGACAGTTGAACAGAATCCAGAGCTAAATTTTCATCCCAGTCCGCCTCTGAAGGAAGGTGAAGTGTCTTGCCCAAGGACACAATGACTGACATGACTGCGGGAGCCTGGGTTTGAACCAGCAACGCAGTGATTACAGAGCGAATGCCTAACCGCTGAGTGAATCAAATAACTGATTACAAGTAATTAAATTGAACATTTAGACAAAGGAAAAAGAGTAAACTGCATTTTTATTCTGTTACTGATTACTCAATATCAGACAATATTAACCTTAGTAATCGTTACAAACTGCAGTTTCTAGATTATGATTCCAAATATTAGGGGAGCAAAGTACTTTAAACACTGGTTTTATGTAAATAATTTCCATCTAAACTCAACTGGTTTTAACACCCTTAGCAGCAAAAAGTGTAAGTCAGGCCCGCAGGGGTTTATTATACGAGGTGTTTTTTTTTTCCTTTAACAAATGAAATCATCATTTGAAAACAGAAGTTTTTATTTACTCAGGTTACTCTATTCTTATATATTTACTTAAAAGAACTATGAAACATTTAAGGGTGTTAGAGAAGTAAAAACAAGAAATCTGTTAGGGGTACTTTGTTTTTCTCAAATCACTATGCTCACTCAACAAATGGCTGCCTTTGTTCTCATTGGATGAGAAAAAATATAATTTTCTTGAATATGTCAGATTTAAACACGTCGTTTATCATTAACTGAAGAGAGAAAAAAACTAAAGCAATCAAGTGAGGTGAATTAAAAAACTAAACTAAAATTAAAAAGTTTGAGAATTCTGGATCCTCCTTACCGGCAGGTGGCGCCAAAGCAACTTTGCGCCAGAAAAACGGAAGTAAAAGACTTTTGACAGCCTGTGTGCGGGGTGCTATGGTTACGAACCATCAGGTAGCTCACGTCTAGGAAACTAGGTCGTTTCTTAGGTTTCAGTCAGTGTTTTCCTCTGGTACTACTCAGTAAGTAGTAATTTATTTGAACAACAAGACAGTTTCTTCTTCGTAACTAAACCAAAGTCTCTTTTGCCCTGCTAGCTTACATGCACTTAGTTTGACTAATGTCCATATTAAATGCTAAGAGCGCAGTAACAATAAGTTTACCTATTATCTGTAACACATTCACTGCTTTGACTCTTTTAATAAGCGCGTTAACTTGACGTTTTATCTGGTATAAATTTTCCTTGCTTTCATGTCTTAATTTTCATTTTGATATATTTATTTCAACTTATTTTAACCCTTAATCGTCACATTTATTTCTTAATTTCATAGATATACAACTCAGGAGATCACCAGGTCATTCCTCTGAGGATCTGATGGTATTTCTGTGAAGATGACCTACCAGTGTGTGGCCTATGGATGTGGAAAAACCGCTGAGGATGGAGTGACTCTGTTTAAATTCCCTAAAGATCCAGATGAATTTCACAAGTGGGAGAAGCAGGTTCAGCGAACCCGAGCCCAGTGGGTCGCAACACCTTACTCCCACCTTTGTAGCGATCATTTTGGTAAGGAGTATTTTGAGGGAAAGTTTCCCACAGGGGTCCTGAAGCTAAGGCCGGGAGCTGCTCCTACAGTATTTGTCCGTCCACATTGTTTGTCTTGCAAAAACTCAAGCTGCAAAAGCTGCCTACCTGCTATCCAGTGTCGGAGCTTTACAACAGAAATGACAGAGCACAGCATCAGTGTGAGTTTCCTCTTCATTTAGGATGTCGCTCTGACAAGCTGTGATTTTAAATTTGAAGTTCCTCTTGCTAGGGTGAAAACAAAGAAATGACCCTGGAGTTTGATAATGATAATGAAGAGTCTGGTCCCAGAACAAAAAATGAAGATGATCACTCAGGTAAATAATGCATCATACAAGAAATATTCTGTCCATCTATTGACGTTTTCATTTTGATCATAAAAGTCTGTAAACCTGTGTTTCTATATTTTCAGTGATCTGTGAGATGTGTGGGACACGTGGAACTTTTAGCACTTTTTTTTCAAAATCAAAACGTTTCTGCAGCAGATCGTGTTCACGCTCTTATTCATCCAACTCAAAGAGGTCATCCATACTGGCACGCTTGCAGGTTTGGAGAAAAAAAGTTATTCGTATTTTTTTTCTGGTTCCCCTGGTTGAGGATCTGTTAGATATTTAATTTTTGTTGACTTTTTGTGTGATTGGAAGTTTTACCACATAAATGTTTGGTTTTATGGGGTAAAGTTATTTTATTTTCAGTCAAAGTCAGCTCAGCACAAAGACAGAAACAGACTACAAGCAGAACACAAAAAAAAGCTTCTGAAAAATATACTTAAGTCAGACCTTTAGTTCACCCATCCAACCTTTACCATTTTCTCTTGAGCCACATCTGTGATCTTCTGCATAAGATCCTTGAGTTTACAATCCTGACGGCAAATCCAGGTGTCCAAGGCCTGAGACTCAACCTGATTTTATTCATTTTTTATTCATTCATTTATTTTTATTCATTAATTCATTTTGTATTTAAACTAATTATTTAGAAGGGACTTTCTACAGATGTTAAGGGTAATTTATATTTTACCTGTTTGTGATTGCTGATTGAACAACCTCAGTTTGGATAATAAGTCTGAATAAGAACAGTTACATTTTTCTGTAATCTAAAACATACCAACAGTTTTATAAAGTTTTACAATGCTATATATTTCACATTTCTTTGGTTTTTACTTAAAGTTGTGGAACACTGAAAACTATTTTTATGACTATTTCTGATTATAATCAGTCTGAGTTTTTCATGCAGGCCGAACATAAATACAGGTCCTTCTCAAAAAATTAGCATATTGTGATAAAGTTCATTATTGTCTGTAATGTACTGATAAACATTAGACTTTCATATATATTAGATTCATTACACACAACTGAAGTAGTTAAAGCCTTTTATTGTTTCTGATATTGATGATTTTGGCATTCAGCTCATGAAAACCCAAAATTCCTATCTCAAATAATTAGCATATTTCATCCGACCAATAAAAGAAAAGTGTTTTTAATACAAAAAGTCACCCTTCAAATAATTATGTTGAGTTATGCACGCAATCCTTTTGCAGAAATGACTGCTTGAATGCGGCGTGGCATGGAGGCAATCAGCCGGTGGCACTGCTGAGGTGTCATGGAGGCCCAGGATACTTCGATTGCGGCCTTAAGCTCATCCAGAGTGTTGGGTCTTGCGTCTCTCAGCTTTCTCTTCACAATATCCCACAGATTCTCTACGGGGTTCAGGTCAGGAGAGTTTGCAGGCCAGTTGAGCACAGTAATACCATGGTCAGTAAACCATTTACCAGTGGTTTTGGCACTGTGAGAAGGTCCCAGGTTGTGGTGAAAAATGAAATTTTCATCTCCATAAAGCTTTTCAGCAGATGGAAGCATGAAGTTCTCAAAAATCTCCTGATAGCTAGCTGCATTGACCCTGCCCTTTATAAAACACAGTGGACCAACACCAGCAGCTGACATGGCACCCCAGACCATCACTGACTGTGGGTACTTGACACTGGACTTCAGGCATTTTGGCATTTCCCTCTGCCCAGTCTTCCTCCAGACTCTGGCACCTTGATTTCCGAATGACATGCAAAATGTACTTTCATCTGAAAATAGTATTTTGGACCACTGAGCAGCAGTCCAGTGCTGCTTCTCTGTAGCCCAGGTCAGGCGCTTCTGCCGCTGTGTCTGGTTCAAAAGTGGCTTGACCTGGGGAGTGCGGCAACTGTAGCCCATTTCCTGCACACACCTGTACACGGTGGCTCTGGATGTTTCTACTCCAGACTCAGTCCACTGCTTCTGCAGGTCCCCCAAGGTCTGGAATCGGTCCTTCTCCACAATCTTCCTCAGGGTCTGGTCACCTCTTCTCATTATGCAGCGTTTCTGCAACACTTTTTCCTTCCCACAGACTTCCCACTGAGGTGCCTTGATACAGCACTCTGGGAGCAGCCTATTCGTTCAGAAATTTCTTTCTGTGTCTTACCCTCTTGCTTGAGGGTGTCAATGATGGCCTTCTGGTTGTCAGTCTTACCCATGATTGCAGTTTTGAGTAATGAACTAGGCTGGGAGTTTTTAAAAGCCTCAGGAATCTTTTGCAGGTGTTTCGAGTTAATTAGTTGATTCAGATGATTAGGTTAATAGCTCGTTTAGAGAACCTTTTCATGATATGTAAATTTTTTGAGATAGGAATTTTGGGTTTTCATGAGCTGTATGCCAAAATCATCAATATTAGAAACAATAAAAGGCTTGAAATACTTCAGTTGTGTGTAACGAATCTAATATATATGAAAGTCTAATGTTTATCAGTACATTACAGACAATAATGACCTTTATCACAATAAGCTAATTTTTTTAGGACCTGTAGTCTCCTACACCTATCTGCTGTGTTATCCTATGATAGAAAATAGCCGGTGAAACTCTAGGATTAGAAAAGCCTGACAGCGTGACATTACACTGTCAAATAACATTCATGGACTCATCTATCTCTGAAATTGCAGCACCATGGCTACGAAATTGACCCCCACCACCCACCACCACACACACACACATAGGCTAAACGTTCCACATGCACCCCCCTCCCACCTGGGAGACGCACGGTAGCAAAACGTTCCGCGCGCATCCTTCCCCGCTCTCACGGGAGATGCACAGAAGCAAAAGTCCAGTAGTTTTTACCATTAATTTCTGAAAATATCCATCAAAATGTAGTTGAAAATGAATGAAATGACGCCCAGTTGTTGAAAATATTGGCGGTTTCTTAACATATAATCATAAAAATCAGGTCTAAAATACATGGGAGTGGGTCTAAGTTTCTGGGCGACGCCATATTAGATGCCATGTTTCCTACTATGGCAGCCCCTGAGGACAAAATGCATTTGCTGATTTGTAACAAATGGTTACAAAACCTTCGTCATTGTTAAATGTTGTTTTACACATTTACCTCTTCTATTTGCCAGTGAAGTGCTTGTTATTTTGCTAAAGTTTGCACTCCCCAGGGCTTTTTGACCCTAATGGGCATCCGTTGGTAAGGTCTTACTCCAACACAAAAATATTGCTTGTCGATTTAGGTATCTACTGCCCCTTATTGCCAGGAAAAATACACACAGTCTCTTTAAATATCATATCGCAGAGCATGCAGAGTAACTGACAGAGTGTCGTTGATATTATCCAATCTGAGGTGAGATGTCCAAATCTAGTGACCCAAAGACTCCAAATCCTGTGGTGTTCAGCTCACCTCAGATGTGGCATTCTGCTAGTTCCTGAAAACAAGTGCATCTGAGCCTTTGCACTACAATCATTCACACACTGATGGTGATTAGCTACACTTTAGCCATGGCTGCCCTTGGGCATGCTGACGGAAATGAGGCTGTTACATAGTTGGTGACACTGGTCCCTCCGACCACCACCTGTAGATGAGTAGGGTGAAGTGTCTGGCCCAAAGACTGACACAAACTGAGCCTGGATTCAAACCAGCAACCATCCGGTCCTAGGGCAAATTCCTATTTAGTATTTATAAAGTTTTGAAAGACTAACACACGAAGAATGACGCACGGGACATAAATATTTATAACTAGTGAGTAATCCTTGATTTTTCAAACTGAGGTCTAACCGATAAGAGCCCTATTCGTGATGTCAACACAAGGTGGCAGCAGCGAGCTATTTGTGAGCTACTGCTGCTGCTAAATAAGGGAGGAAGGAGAAAGTCGCGCTGTGCTTGAAAACTTTGCAGTACAACGTGTCTGGTTGCATTTCAGCGAACCAAAATGTTTTTTACGTGCTGTGTGGATGACTGTTTCACCACGAAAGAAAAGGGAGTAATTTTTCACCGCTTTCCTTTGAACAACCCGGAGCGACTGAGACAATGGCTGTTGTCGCTGGACATGGATGTAAACACCCCCCTCTACATCCTAAACAAACTCTCCGTCTGCTACAAGCATTTCCTCTCCAGTGACTACTACGCCTCACCCGATCCTAGGAACCCCGACCAAGTCCTCAGAACCAGCGCCATACCGTTCCGGTCCATTCGGAACCCCATCTCAGAGGCTGGTGACACCTTTTGTTGATCAGAAAACGTGTTTAAGCTGACGCTCTGATGTGCACAGACCTCTGTTTTAATACCACGCGTGTTTGTTACACCAGGACCAGAGGTGTCCTCTGCAGAAAGACCCCTCTCCCAAGGATCAGCTGATGTTGTACCATGTGTGGTGTACCACATGGATCCGTCCTAGCCCCCTTGTGTTCTCATGCTTGGTTTTGACAAGGCTATTGTCCAGTTTACAGGTGTTAGCCTACTCCAGGTGTCCCATCAGCTTTACAAACCATAATTCTGGCCTTTCTGGGATTAACTTTAAATATCCCAAAAGTTTGCCTTAAATGCAATACTACTTACTGTGTGTCTAAATTCCTATCAATTCAAGATTGATATGTATTTAAAATGAATTTGCTCAGGCTGCTATGAGAACAGAAATAACTTTTATATTAAGATCAAATGTGTTTTTCTGGGGAGAAATTTCAGTCTCCAGCTAACTGATGATGTACTAGGATCAGGTTGGACACCTTTCCCTTCAGAACCACCTCAATTATTCATGTCATGGATTCAACCAGGTGTTTTGAACCTCCCTTGGAGGATCTGATCCATACTGAGATGACATCATGAGACAGTAACATCCACAATGTAAATCTCGCAAAGGTTCTGGACTGGACTGAGACAGCTTAGATGACAGGAATGACTCCTGGTGTGGCCTTCTGCAGCTGGAGTCCATCTGCTCTACATTTTGTGGTTCAGATATCCTGTTCTGCAGACCTTGGTTGGAACCAGTAGTTATTTGAGCTGCCTGTTGTCCCATCTCTGTAATTCATAGAGCTGGTTTCGGGTGAAAATCCCAGTAGATCAGACCAGCCTGTCTGACACAACCAACCACTTCATGTCTCACCCAGTGGTTAACTGACAGAGATGGAGCTGCTGCAAACTCAACACCGCTAGTTCTCTCAGACCACCATCAGCAGGCAAGGAGGGAGAAGTGTCTTCAACCCAAAACACGCACAAGTGTTCCAAAATGTTTGGGCAGCCATTACTGGGCAGTGATTCATGAACCCCTTTATGATCTGACTGAAATAAATCTGTTTACAGGGGAGGTCTCTTTCTAAAAAAGCCACTGTGCTGAAAAAGGTGAACCAAGTCTCTTCAGATCCAACAGCAGTGCATGGTAAAGGCACAGTGTGTGTGTGTGTGTGTGTGTGTGTGTGTGTGTGTGTGTGTGTGTGTACAAGGCTCAGGGTGATGAGAATGTTTAAGAACAATTTAGCTTCACTTATTTGTTTAATTTGCCTGAAATTATAGTCAAACATTCTTACATGCACGTCTCAGCCTGTATGAGGAGGAACATGCAACATTTATCTTCCTCAGTCAGAGAGCTTTTACTAATTCTCTGATCTGTTCACCTGGCAGCATCTTCTGGGTTTGATTGGGGCCCCTACTTGGAAAAAGAAACATCTCTGGCTGCATCTGTCTCCTGCTTTGCACATGTGAGTCCTCACTGTCATGCACTTCAGAGCTAAGGATTGTGAAATGGTCTGTGTGCTGCACATGAAACATTCATGAAGAAGGCATCTCTCTATAGGCTCCTCTGAGTGATTACTGGGATAGCATCTTTGTTGGGATGAAGGTGGAGGTCCTTAACACAAACGCCATTCTTCCCAGTAAGGTTTACTGGGTTGCTACTGTCATCCACGTAGCAGGTGTGTATTTATCTGTTGGCTTTTACGATGTTTTAAAAGTTTGATGCTCCATCAAATCATTAGTTCCTCCTTAGCAACCAACGTGATTACCTGCAAGTCAAGCTGGAGGGAACAATGAGTTCTTAATGTCTGTTTCCAGGATACAAAGCTCTGCTGAGATATGAGGGGTTTGAACACGACAGCTCACAGGATTTCTGGTGTAGCTTGGTTTCAGGAGAGCTGAACCCAATTGGGTGGTGCACCATGACGAGCAAGCTGCTGGTGCCACCGCGGGGTGAGGTTGGATCCTGAAATCTTTGACATCCTGCAGCATTTAGACAATTAAATGTGACATTTTTCACTTTGGATTGAATTGTAGATGTGAAGAACATCCCAGACTGGAAGGAATATCTAATGAAGAAGCTGGTGGGGGCCACCACACTACCTGTTGACTTCTACGTGAAGGTAGGTTAAAGCTGCCTGACTTGTTGCCTCTCCTCTGATGTGTTTACATCCTTTGTGTGTCCTCAGCTGTCAGAGAGCATGAAGCCCACTTTCAAAGTAGGCATGCGTGTGGAGATGGTGGATCCCAGACACTTGAGCCGGACCCGGGTCGCCTCCGTCGACACCATCATTGGTGGCCGTCTTCAGCTGGTGTATGTCGACCGAACCGACGTCCCTGAAAACGCCGCTGCCAACTTTTGGTGCCACATGAAGAGTCCCCTGGTCCACCCTCTGGGCTGGTCCAAGAAAGTGGGTCATCCCATCAAAGCATCTGGTGGGTCATAATATGCTGTTATTACATCATTCATACGTTTATTTATAAACAACGTTTGTTTAAAGCAACACTAAATAAGTTCCCCCCACTTCTCCCTCCTACTGGTGGACTTACAGCCGCAGCCTACTGTTGATAGCACTGACAACTAGCTAATGCTAATGCTAACATGTGCCAACTGATACTGAAGTACGCCACGACGTAAAAAGATCCATGATGTTGCAAAAAAATTAAATTATATACAATTCCAGAAGCAAAAGCAATGTTTTCACTTCTTAGCTCTTTGCTTTCACTCCAAAGACATTTCTCTCTTACTTTTACTTTCAGGCTACGCCATGATGTCAACTAGAGAAGCAAGCTTCTCCTTCTTGTGCTTTTTATTAACTGTGAAAAAGCTAACTGCTAGCCTTCATATTAGTTACTGGAATAGTAAACAGCTAATGCTAAAAAGCAGGTAGAGACCTCCCACTAGTGTTGCTACTCAAACCACAAAACCTTTAAGTGCAGTTTCTGGTCAGCAGACGGCTTCAGGGTGCTGTCACATGTCAAGTTGCTCAGATTTCTGGCTCATGAACCACTGAAACCAGTTTGAAAGCAATAGCTTAAAGTCTTAACCCTTTATAGGGCACTCATTGAAGTATTTTAACTTTTTTCATTTCAACCTCGGGGTGTAATTGTAGTATATATAACCAAAGTGTATTTCTGTTACAGTTTGCAAAAGTATTTATTTTCGTGCAGAAAATCAGAGAAAACAAAGTGATCAAATATGGACGTTGGCCCTGTTCTGGTAACAGAAATCTCAAAATAAAATAACACAAACAAGTAAAACAAACATTATTTTTGAATAATATAATTATAAGACACTTAAGAATAATCTAGCTCATTTTGAACATTATATCACTGTTAAAAAATGAAGAATATATCACAGTTATTAAACCATATATTATAGTTTTATAAAAACAGATTATTGTGGAATATTTTTAAAAAGTTATTGAACAATAGATACTATCTATGATCAAATATAGATTATTAGAATATTTTATATTTGAGGATTTGCCTCATCATCATCATCATCACCGATGGCGAGGTTGGTAGGTGCAATAAGTGTCCTCCTCCATTTCCCAGAGGAATCTTAGCTTAAAACTGCAAAATATATTCAATATAATTGTTATTATTACTGTTACCATGAATATTAAGATTATGTCTAAAAACAACAGATTTTACCTAAAAATATTCATAATTTCTCTTACTTGTTCAGAGAGTATGTTTAAATGTTGCAGATTTGACTTTAATGCTAAGATTTCACCAACTTCATTGAGTTTAACATTTACAACACATGTATCCTTATTTAGCACAACTAGTCAACCTTGTGATGTGAGAGTTTCATAAACCTAGCATTGTTCGTTGTAGAGCTCTGACCGTAAACACGAGAGGAGACAGAGCACTTTCTGGCTCTGCAGACACACCAGTATGTGGAGCGTTATAGCCCCACACTGATTGGTGGAATGGCGCCATGGCACAAACGTGACTAGCTTGTTCTCTGATGATTGTTTGGGTGAAATCCCATAATTCTAAGAGTTTGTGAAAGGGCACACAACATCATTTGTGGTGTGGGTGGAAGTGTCTAAATATGGACATTGGCCCTTTAAAGGGTTACACATTCTTTAGTGTTGCTTTAATTGATTGTATTTATATCTGCTGTAGCTTATATACACAACAGGTCAATTAGCGTTTGAATTTTGTTCCATGTTTCTGTTTAAGTTGCTTCATGTTGTGATGAAATATTTCATTTCTCTCTTTTCCACTGCAAACTACATTGTAGCTTTGGGTGGTGTGAAAAGTAATCCTGAGAACTCCTTCCTTCTCTTCCAAAGGGTAAGAAAAAGTGATATCACCTCCAATTAAACAGATGACACGTCTTTTAGTTCATTTATGGGGTTTTTTTGCATATGGATATGTAGCTCTTGAGAAAGACATAGCACAGTTTAAACAAACATGGAGGACGATGTGTAATTACTAGTGCAGGATTGATGTCATGGCTGATTCTGTGGCAGCTAGCTCTGGTCTGCAGAGAGGTTCAGCGTGGGCGAGGTGGGACAGATTCGCTGCAGCTTCACCTGCCTGATTTCTAGTTTTTGACATGTGCAGGTCCTAGACGGGGGGCAGCTAGATATGGAAGCATGTTGTAGAAAGAGCAAAGAAAAAGATAAAGGAGTATGTTGTAATAACAAGAACGCTCCTCGTTACTTTTACCACCTCTTCCATATTTTATGCCTTTGTGAGTAAAGTTTCAACACACATTTATCAGCGCTAAAACATGCTTGGATCAAAAATGATTGTCAGTCAAAAAAAAGGTTTTTGTAGAATTTCTGCTCCAACTTGGCCTAGGAATCTAGGTAGACCGTAGCAAAAGCAGAGGATTTGGTTGGTCTAGCCACCTGTAGCCTCAACAGGTCTAACACCGGCTCGGCTAAGTCTAGAGCAGGCCAATCACGGCGCTCTTGTGTATGTAGAGAGACACTGGGCGAGTTTAGCATGAGAGCTATGTTGGAGGAAAAACTCCAAAGATGGTGTCTGCTCAGGAATATTGCTTGGCTAAAATGGCTTTGGCATGATTTAGACTTGGACTTTTCTTTGAGACATGAGGAGATAGATGTATGTAAGAGTCGTTTATTTAAAAACATATGTTTTTGTTTGTTTTTCTTCTTTGAAGGTGTATGGCGGACTGCCCCATTGTCTAATTTCCATAGCAATGAATGCATCACATTTTTCATTTCCCTGATTGGAGAGTTTTAAAGACAACTGTAGATTCTGCCCCACGACTGAGCTCTATGAGTCGTGACCAGACTACATACGTAGGATAGCTTGCTAGGCTGGTTTTTCACTCTAAATCGAAAAGATAGCTCATGTTTTATGCGGACTCTGTGATGCGGATGTGATCTGACCCACAGCCCAGAGTCGTCTACATGGGGGACCGTTTTTTTGAGGAAGGAATGAAACTAGAAGCCATCGATCCTCTCAACTTGGGAAACATCTGTGTTGCTACGGTCCAAAAGGTAACTGAAGCTGCCTTTGTCACTGGATAACAACCGTTTGACTCTTTCTGATGAGTGCCTCCATCCCTGCTGTGTGTTCAGGTGCTGCTGGACGGTTACCTGATGGTTGGTATTGATGCTACCACATCAACCAGCGGTTCTAACCTGTTTTGTTACCACGCTTCTTCTCACGCCATTCTACCAATTAACTTCTGCAAGAAAAACAGCATCACCCTCACTGTACCTCGGGGTAAGAGCTGGGGTGATTTTATTCACCACATTTGTGCTTAAAGCCTGATTCATACATCTCCATCAGCACGGTTGCGTAGTCGCACACATACGTTGATGGAGATGCACTTCTCCGTTGTCTGGGGAGTGAGAGAGGGCGTGGTGCTTCTCTAGTGGTGCCCTGCCAGTATTGCAGTCATGTCTCCAGTCCACTTTTGTATTTGTATTTATTATGTGTTTCAGAGACTTTTCACCACGAGCACATTTGTGCCTCATTCTCCTCCACGTCTTCATGCAGTTGCTACCTCTAAACCCACCGCTGCAGCAGAACACTTCTCCTAGCTGTTGCTGGAGGCTAAGCCTGGGACAGACTGATGATGCGCACTAAAGATTACCACAGTTGTTGTTTTATTCCATGTCATCATTAAGCACCACTGCTTCCAGTTAGTTCAAGCTTATGGATAAAACAACAAAACCATAATTTGAGTTAATGTGTAGCGTTCAGTAAAAGCATGCGGTCAACGAAAACTTTCAATCCGAAGATCACCCCACCATCCTCCTCATAACGGCCACCTGGCTTGCTCAGGTGAAAGTTCAGCCCTAAATGACCTCGCACATCAAAGCTGACACACACCCCTCATCAAAAGGGCCCGTCAAGTGAACTCATATCACTGACATCAAAACTTACTTTTTTGGACCCTTCAACCACTTTTCCTGCATTTTCCTTCCTCTAATTAAAAGTTTGCTGCGAATCTTCATACTCCTTCAGTCACGAGTGTATAAACGTTCATATTGTCAGACTTTTTCTGCGAGATCATTTTCGTGTTGCCAGTAAATATCTTCGGCTCTCGTTTTTTATTTTTGGGAGGTTAGTGTCCTGACCAATCACAGGCTCTGTAACTTACAAGGCATAGTTAAAAAAATGTGACATGTCATTTTCACCCTTTGCCGGCATGCCACTGAGAAACTTGTGTTGACACATCATGGCGTTACGAATCTCACAACTCAAAAGTATAAACCAGGCTTAAAGGAGCAATATGTAAGAATTCTACATTGAAAAATAAATCACAAAAAAGTCTAAAATCTCAATCATGTTGGAAGTAAGTTCACATTGAAACAGATTTCCTTTTTAGTCAGCTGAGGGTCATCAGTTTTTCTCATTTCAAGTAAACCAATGAGGGACATAGTCACTGTTTACAATCTGTGATCTTGTGAGGTTAATGAGTCTGCGCCAAGCTAGCTCTAGAGCATTGGCACTTGTAATTCGACACCAGCAGGAGTTGTTAAGGAAACAAAGCCAGTAAACAGAAGCAACCCAGAAGTTATTTCTTGTACTCTTATAAAGCCACGGCGTCTTTTTTGCTAAAGGCTAACATTGAGCTATCAATGCTAACAGTGAATTGCGAGTAAATAGTTGGCTCTAAAAATATCTCCAACTACTTTTTATATTTACAACTCGATATTACAGTGAAATGTAAATGTGAAATGAATAATGAGTCATTCGTGGCGTTTTACTTCTTTTTAATGAGTCGTCTATAGCAGCAAGATGGCGAACTGCAGTTCCTCTATAAATATGGTTTGTATCGTTTATGTTCATGATTGTTTTGGAGTTTTGACTTTCATCCTCTGAGACTTTGTGCTGTAAATGTTAAATATGTTACAAAACTGCACTTCCTCTAATACTGGAGATTACCGTAATAAGTGAAGTAAGTGCTCCCTACCATAAAGCACCCTAGAGTGCTAGCACCAAATATGACAAATTATCTACTTATCAACTTACTATGTGTGACTCGTTTTTGCTTGTCATCTAGAATCTTCTAGTGCTGATCTGTAACTGGCAACAGCCACGAGACTCTCAGAACAGCAGTGAGAAAGTCACTTTTTGCCCCAAAAAAGGTGCTAGTGTAACCAAGCACAGGGTGTCATTGTTAATTCATTCTTCAATCAATCAATCAATCAATCAATCAATCAATCAATCAAACCTTTATTTTACCAGTGAATAGACCTCATTGAGATTAAAAATCTCTTTTCCAAGAATAACAGCAAAGACATGTTTCCGGACAGCGGACACACACACACACACACACACACACACACACACACACACACACACACACACACACACACACACACACACACACACACACACAGGCAAAAAAAATGACATAATGAAATACATAAACTGGGTTAAAAAATTTATTTAAAAAAAACATAAACAATCAAGTCAAAATATATAATCAATAGTCAATCATAAAAATTTCCAACGTGACGTAATAAAATGGCAACATTAAAAAGGGTTAAACCTCTCACAAAAGTGCACTCGATACAACAATCAGATAAAACATCTACAGCCAGATGACTCTCCCTCCAACACTTCCCTTTTAGTGATGGAATGAAGCTGCTGAGGGAAAATCTAAACTTTATATGACTATTTCAGGTTATGATGCCCAGACTTTCAACTGGGAAACGTACCTGAAGGAGACTAAAGCTGAAGCAGCACCAGCCAGACTGTTCAACACTGTAAGTTCTGACTGAGAGCTCGGTGTCAGCTGCTAAAGAGTAAAGACACTTAACTATAATGTGTGATGCTGTTTCAGGACTACCCAGGTCACGGTTTCTCCCCCAACCTGAAGCTGGAAGCAGTGGACCTGATGGAGCCTCGGTTGGTGTGCGTGGCCACAGTAAAGCGCTGCGTGGGCCGCCTCCTGCTCATCCACTTTGACGGCTGGGATGATGAGTTTGACCAGTGGATCGACCACCAGTCCCCAGACATCTACCCGGCTGGCTGGTGTGAGCTAGTGGGCTACCAGCTCCAGCTTCCTCCTGGAACCGGTAAAACACCTCTGATAAGGGGCGGGCACGCCGCGCTGTGGGGGTCCCATCGGAGAGTCGGGTTTAATGCACTTGACGTAGTTTTACGTGTTCAGACCTTTCCTTCTCTTTTCCTTTTTCAGCCCTTTCTGTAGATTAGTAGTGGAAAACTCCGCCTGACCTCAACAACAAAGTGACAGAGGTTTCGTTTTGTTTTCCAGTTCATTTAACTGAAAACCAGGTGGTACGGAACAAGAAAACCAAGCCCTTCGTGTACCGCCGGAAAAAGAGTATGTGAAATGTGCATGGGGTCTTGTGTCTTGCCAAAGCACACGGGGGACAGGGGTTAGGGTTAAACCTAGTTCATACTTCTCCATCTGCGGCGGTACGGAAACACGCAATGCCATTATCCGTCAGCGCAAAGCTTCTCCAACAGGTTCGCAAGGATGGACAACGTAGAGCCAACATACATCGAAAGTGACGAAGACCACAAGCCTGTGATTGGTGTAACTGGATGCTGCTTCGTTTAATTTCGTCAGCAGCACCACCATTCCCCCCTCAAAAATTTAAAGGAGAGCTGAAGATAGGGAGCCTAACGCCGGGGACACACTGGCCGCGGAAGCGCCGCGAAAATGGGACCGCCTTCATTCGGCGCCCTTGTTAAGCTATTCTACAGACCACATGGGCCGCCGAGGCGCCGCGAAGCGCCGGCGCTCCAGCCCGCGCCGTGCAGCGGTCATTTCGGCGTCGGCTCTATTTTTTTTGCGAGCCGCGGGTGAATCGCGTCAATTCTGGCAGGAAGTCAAACCTAGACATAAGAGGCAGGCCGGTAAAGTTAACAAAATAAGGCATTTCAAAATAAAATTCCGCAATAGTCAAATGTGTTCGTAATCAGACACTGCAGAAAAACCACTCGAACACACACACACACATACACACACATCGAACTTGTGTGCGTGCGTGACCACGTGAAGGGGTGTGTGGTTTTGGGTGTCTTTTCACGGAGCAAACAGGACAGAGAGGCAGAAAGTCTGAGGCAAGCAGTTAAGATGGATGACTTTAAATTAATTATGGAAGTTGAGAAACACAAGGAGCTGTACGACCCCCGAAAAACATGATTATTTACGTTCCCATGTCGGAAGAAACTGCTAGGATACAGCTGCAGAACTGGAGCGGGTTCCAAGAGATTCAACTGGCAGAAACGACTCATACCATAGGTACACACACACACGCACGCACACACGCACGCACGCACGCACGCACGCACGCACACACACACACACACACACACACACACACACACACACACACACACACACGCAGAGGAAAAGAGCTGAGAAAAGGCAGAGAGGAAATGGAGGACACCAAGTGTTTAAAAGAAAAACTACAGCTGAGCCGAGGCGCACCTCGACTGGGGCGCGTCTGATCTGAACTGAGGAGCGGCGAGCAGCGGCCGAATTTCGTGAGCAATTCGCTTCTCGGCGCTTCGCGGCGCTTCTGCGGCCGGTGTGTCCCCGGCGTAAGTCTCCTCCCTCTCCGGTCGGCTCATGGGTCCGCGGAAAAACGAAAAAATGAATTCAGATCAATGGGGTTCAGAGTTATTTTCTAATCCGCTTTGCCTTACGCCCTGGATATACCACACATGTAGTGCTGAAGTTTAAATGAAATGCAAAAATGTGTGTTTCAACCACGCCAGTCACATACTTTGAGATTGTAAACATTTGTAATTACTATGACTACAAATCAGACATCGGCACGTTGCAAATGGGACGTCACCACATAATATCCTCTCCTCCAGCATAGCTGCTACTTACCACACGGCCAGATTCACGGCGGTTCTTTCCTCCTGAAGGAAGGATTTGAAGTTTGCTGAAATTACAGCCATTTCCCCTCTGCTCTTCATGTCTGCTTTAATGACAGTGATGCATATTTGTAGTGCTGAATGTATTTGTACACAAAACCTAAAATACAGTTTGCCCCTATTCTAAAATAAGCACTTTCTTGGCATTAGAATGTCCATCCATTCATTCTCTTCCATTTATCTGGGGTTGTGTTGCGGGGGCAGCAGCCTAAGCAGAGAGGCCTAGAGTTCCCTCTCCCCAGCTCCTTAGGCCAGCTCCTCTGGGGGAATCCCAAGGTGTTCCCTGGCCAGCTGAGAGACATAGTCCAGTCAGCGTGTCCTGGGGCTTTAAGGTATCCTCCTGGTTGGACGTGCCTGGAAAACCGAGCCACCTCAACTGGCTCCTCTCGATGTGGAAGAGCAGCCGATCTACTCCAAGCCCCTCCCAGACAACCAAGCTTCTCACCCGGAGAGCCCAGACACCCTGCAGAGAAAACTCATTTCAGCTGCTTGTATCCACGATCTCGTTCTTTTGGTCACTACCCAAAGCTCGTCACGACCATAGGAGAGGGTAGGAACGTAGATCGACCGGTAAATCGAGAGCTTCGCCTTCTGGTTCAGCTCTCTCTTCACCAAAACAGATCGGTACAACGCCCGCATCACTGCTGCCTGTCGATCTCCCGATCTTTCCTTCTGGACGAGTTTAGAAAAATAGCTTTTATAGCCAAGCTGACTTGGATTCATTTTGTTCTTCTGGGGACCCATGGTCTGGAGATAGATGGGTGTGACTTAGGCTCCCTATGTCTTTGAAGCAGATAGAAGCATGTCTCATGGAAAAGGTCAGACGATATATTACAATTAACCAG